CGCATTTACGAATACCGTAAAAACGGTATTGCAGAGGTGTCATGTGGTATGTATGGTATGATATCGCAGGTATGTAGAGCAGGAGTATCGATCTCTAACGCTTTTTTAAAAGTATCCAGAAAAATAAGTCAAGAAAATGTGCGTAATGTTTCAGGGACCTACTATATTTTTCCGGCTTCTTCGCTTTGCTTTCTACGTGTACCCACACTCGGATTCGGGGTAGGGGATGAAGGCTCCCCTCTAAGGATTTCTGACGATACCTCCCCAGCATCGTGTGAAATCAAGCCACCTAATTTTTATTGGCCTCTATGGCATCCAATACACATGTTCTGACGCCAAAAACGCGTCCCTAGCATTTCTGGTTTCGTAGCAGCAGCAGTTTGTCATGCACACTGGCGCGGCGGCGGGCGGCAGCCGATGGCACCGCGGTTCGTCCCCGGCGGGCCGACGTCGTTACGTTAACGGAGCCATGCGTCATCAATACATGCTCAAAACACATGCCACTATACACCGTTGGACGTATAATTGAAAAAAGGGACGCACGTGTGAAAGCTTGTGTCGCTACGAAAGCTTGTGTCGCTGTGTCGCTAAAGTGCTGGCTACTGTCGCTGAGACATGGTCTGGTACATATGAACAACTTAAGCTGAAAAGGCCCAATGTTCAGGATAAACTGACATTTGACCTGGCGTAATGGGGTAATTATTAAACAAGCCCCACACAAGTTATCATCAACCGCGAGGTCTTGTTAAAACCAATTCACTGGGATTTTTCCCTACGCTCTGTCTTGCTGACTTCGGAAACGACATATGGTGTCGGCATCGTCCCCCCCCCCCCCCCACTCTCAGTCCGCGTTATGAAAAACAGCGAATCGGGGCGAGGGTTAACAAAAATTCGCAAAAGAGGACCCATTTACGAAAAATCCACCAGAGCGGCGAACTGTGGCTGACTTAAATGCCCACACGAATGACTTTACATCGGATGCCGAGCAGAATGCCCATCCATACAATGCACAAAGTGAAAAAAACTCGAGATCAAGTTTCCGTGGGCGGAACCACGTACTGACGAAGCCAAATTACATGCCTGCCATGACCCTGTCTATAGTGTCAAAGCTGGCCAAACGTTTGGTCAAGCTAGCTTTCTCCTACAAGTCCATTGGTCCTTAAAGCTATCAGGCAATTCGTAGATGTCAGGAAACCTGACATCCACCGTGGCCACCTGGTCGCCGGAACCACCCAACACTTATGAACGCGTGATAGAAGCTGGCCAATAACGACTTATGACAGTGAGCTAGCCAATCGGCGGTGGAATCATCTCCCGCGGAGAAGCGGCGCTTCCAGCTATCGGTGCGGGTGCCAATCACCCTCGCAGCCAATGTCTATTGAAAACAGGCCTTGTCGTAAGCGGACGCAAGCAGGCGTTGCGTGACTGCCATCGTTGTAATGAGCTCGGGCGAGGCTCCATTGTGTGCACGGGCGCTGCAGCCTGCATCCGGCGAGCGCGGCGCATCGGACGCGGCTGGGGCGGCGGCGCAGGGTAGGCGTCGGCCCGTCGCCGCCCTCTGCAGTCGAGCACTCCGCAGCGCTCCTGCCCGCTCCCAGGAGACAAATTTCCGAGCCTAGACGCGACAGCCAAGCAAAAGGCCCTCTCACGAGGGTGACGTCACTTGTTAGTGCCGAGAGACAGCGTTTATCGGAGGACAAAGACGCGATGAAGCGGCGGGCCGCCGGCCGGGACCTGGTGCGCTGCAGCGGGTCCAGCTGGCACCGCTAGCCGCGCCGCGGACGGGCCGGCCGCCGCGCGCCGGCGCCGCCGCCGTCCCTGGCGGCGATAGGCGGCCGCCGCCGCTTCAGCACGGCCCGTCGCCGGCTGCTTGGCGCTGCCACGCTCAGGTGCTCTGGCCTCGATGTCCCCGCACTGATGTGTTAGGTACTGCGCTGTGATCATCGGTGGCGCAGTTTAAGCTGCGCTAGTCAGAGGTGCGGCGTTGCCTTATTAAGTTTCCACGATGCTGTGAGCGACGGAGGCGGCGTTTCCCGTTGGTTTTGGCCGATTTGCCCCATGCTGTTCTGAAGCTCAGCATGTAAATAACTAGCGACAGACACTTCTTTGATGAAATTTGCATCGCCTTTTACCTGCACTATAAACGAAGTGAACATAAAATCTTTCAGTTCAGCAGTTATTCCGTTTTCTGGTCGAAAATGACGGCCAGTGTTTGCTTTTTTGGTTGACCATGTGTTTTACTCTTTGACGTCACCATTGCAGCTCCGTTATACGGAAAATGATGCAACTGAAGCTCAGTGCGAAAGGGAGGGGGGGGGGAGGGTTCAGTGAGAAGGTCAACAGTAACAACCCAGGAAATATAAGAACCAATGCTGGTGAAATGCCGCCACCTGATATCGGCGAGTTACGAAAGCCACGATGGAGGCCTTTCCGTAAATGGAGGCGATGCAGCCTGCGCGCGGCGTACCGTCATGGCGTACCGGCGTACCGTCATGCCATGCTCCAGCGTCCCGCTATTGTCCAAACAACAGGGGGCTTGGTTTGCAGAAGGCTTCCCGTCGGCACGGCCCGGGCTTATATAACTGGCGCAAGCACGGCGAGCAAACGCCACATCGACGTCAAAGGCGGTGAGGTCGTCCTCGAGGCATATCTTGCAAAAATTACTCACCGCTTCAAGACATCAAACAGCTGGTTTGCGTTTTGAAAACGTTTTTAACTTAATCAAGAGTAAAATGGTATTCCAGGCATTTTTTGGCGAGAGCATCTGTGATGGTTCGGATATGCGGAACGAAATATAAATCATCAAGTGCTTCAAGCAAATCCAAGTTACATTAAAAGAACTTGCAACAGAAAACGCATGCTTTACGAAACAAACTCAATAATCATAAGAAGCGCTACTACTTATCATCTCCTGCGATGTTGTTGAATGTCAATGTTGAATGTTGAATGTTGAATGCTGTTCCGTTTTGCGCTCTCCAAGACACCTTGTTCAACACACCGCTAAAGATGGCAGGCCGCCGTTCAACACACTCCATCCGAGGCCTTTCCGAGCCTTGGATCCCCTAACTGTCAAGCTTCCCTGATACATCCTGGCCCTCATCCCCCTCTTTCTTTGTACCCTAATGTATAGCATATCGGAGTCATCATGCATATCGGCCGGCATATGCCCCATTAAGCATACATGTGCACGTATGCGTGCACGTACACATTGGCTGCTGCGCGAACATCGGCTCATCTGAAATATAAGTATTTAGTTTAGTGCACACAAGTTTGTAAGCATCTTCTGTTGCCTGCTTCCTGTCAGTCATTCGCTCTTCATGCCACGGTATTTCCGCCAAGTTTTGACTTTAGCATATACTGTACTGAGGGGCACCACCTTGACGTCAACACTTATGAATACGGTTTATGTAATTACAAACGTGGTATTATGCCTGCGGTGCTGCATTTTCGGGGACAACAAAGCTGCCCTGGGAATAACTTTTTTCTTGCTGTGGAATCAGCAAAAGTACAAAAAAGTACAACGTGGTAGTATGTCTGTAGCTTTGTGCGCTTAAGGATTACAAACCTGCCTTAAGGATAACAGGGTTTCTTTTCTTTCTGTTAGAGTAGCAAAGCTTGAAAACTTCTCTGTATCACACAATTATCTTTAACGTGCGATATGCAATAGGTCTATGATAACTTCATGACATAACACGGGAATTGCACACAAGCTTGAGGGGATCTTTTGTTGCAGGCTGCCTGTCAGCCATTCACTCTTCATGCCACCATATCTCCACCAAGTTCAGACTTCGCGTGGACCGTTGTGAGGGGGCACCATCACGACGTCGGCACTTATGACGGCGGTGCTACGTAAGTACAAAGTGGTCATGTGCCTGCGGCTCTGCGCTGTCGAGGACTCAAAAGCTGTCTTAAGGATCGTGGTCTTTTTCTTGCTGTAAAAGTAGCAAAGCTGGATAACTTTTCTGTGCCGCACCGCTCCGTCGTAAGCGTTACGTTCAACGGGCTAGGATAATGGCATGACATGAGATTAGGTTTAGCCTTTATTTTTAAAACAAAGCCATCTGAAACCCTTTAATTAGCATGATCTGGCAGCCTACCATCAACCATAATTGCATCACTGAAAAAGAACCAACACATTTTCATGTGATGTTCGGGCCGTTGAACGTGAATGGGCTCCATCCGTCATCAAATCATCATCATCGTGGATCGGATACACACTTTCCAAACGGGGTACATCTGATGCGGTGCTTGCCGTAACCAAATCATGCTTATGGGCTGAGAAGCTGTTTGAGACAAAGCGAAAAATGAGAAATAAAGAATGCTACTTGAAAACTGAAGAAATAGTAGACATACATCAGGGGAAGCGGCGATCGTTACACGCGTTGTGAGCTGAACTATACCATTTGCACCGTTTTTATTTTAATGCGCTTGTCTTCTCCTGTAATACCACAATACCTGAACGTTAAGATAGTGGCCGTCGAAGTGTTTAGCTAGCAACCCCCGGGAATGTTAAGCAAGCTAATAAGTAATCTATCGATCAGAACTTAAAGTGTATCAGAATGTGCAGGCATTGAGTGGGCGTGCGGTGAAAACGTTCGCCGGAGGGAACGAGAGGCGCCATGAACGATTTGCCATCTCAGCACAGCTATCGCCGGTCCGCCGGCCCCACGCACATACTTGGACGACTAAAATGACGCAATTTGCTTAATGGCAAATAGGTCACGATCGTGACCCGGTAGCTGACGGCTGGCAACTGCAATGGTGCAGTCACGTGCTGAATGTTGTACAGGTCTCCCCTGTCGCAGCTGATATTCTTGCCGCACGCTGGCGCGAGACGCATCCTTTGTCGCAGCTCTGCGACTGCGTTCAGCGTGTTGTGTTCACAGCAACCTCGTCAACCAGCGCCGTATTTGTAACTTGTAATCCCCGCGCCCTCACGTTCTCAGAAAGCGTTCAGTTGTTTCCGACATCCTGTCTGGCAGTGCGTTAGTGGAGCTTACCTTGTGGGTCACCCTGAACCGGCTTGTGCCCATCGTCGCGGCAGTGTTCACCCGATGATGCCGGGTCGTCGGCCCCATCAGAGGACAGGCAGGTCGTCGCCAGGTCATGTCCAGGTCACAGCAGTTCGCCAGCGGCGCGACTGTGACCCCGCGACGGGTCGTGACCGGCTCCAGCCGCCGCCGCGGTCCGTCGTGCGCGCCGGCGGACTCGCACTGCCCGGCCGCCGCTCTTCCACACGGCCGTCGCCGCCGGTGGCCGCTCACTACACGACTCGTCCCGGCGCCGGGACGAGGGCGGCAGCTGGGCAGGGCTCGCGCCACGAGGTGGACGAGTCCGGAGCGGGGCGGACACGCCGGACCGACTTTCACCGGGCGGGCGGCGCGGTCGTCTGGCCAGCCGCGCGCGCCGCCGCCGCCGCCGCCGTCCGCACTGCCCGCGGCCGTGACGTCAGTTTGACATCACGCAGGCCATGCTGGAACCGGAGGACTTATCTGGGAAGCGGCGCCAGGGGCTGCTGCGCGCAAAAGCCATTGTTGGATTGGCATGATTCATGAGGTATTTGCGGAGGTTGGCGCGAAGTGGGTTCGATTAGTATGCGAACGGTCGCCAAGCGAACGATGGTTAATATGCATATGATCTTGCTGCCGGAGAGTCCCAACAGCTAGGTAAAGCTAGTGATTGAGAAAAAGAACTAGGAAGTCTCTTTGAAACCTTTTTACCAGGTACAATCAATTTCTTAGTCGCCGCCACAACCACGAGACAATATTTCGCCTGATTAAAGAAACTGAACGTCTCAATATTTATTGGCGAATGGAATGACATTTATGAGACGTGGTCAATGACACAAGAGAAAGAGAAAGGGAGAGAGAGAGAGAGAGAGATGGAGGGAGAGAGGGAGAGGAAGAGAGGGGAAGAGAGAGGGAGAGAGAGGGAGAGAGAGAGAGGGAGAGAGAGAGAGAGGGAGAGAGAGAGGGAAATATTGTTTAAGATATGTATATACACATGCATATATACATATACGTCCAGTAACCATTCTGCTCCTTTCAGTTTGTAGAAATGTACCAAACACTCTGTCATGCTTCGGTTATACTTGTGCCTACTTCAGCCCAATATCGGGCTGTTTTAGTTCAGTCTGGACAACCCGATGTTTACACGTTCTGCCGTATAACTAATAATGGACGTGTTTGCATTTGCTGTGGGGTGGACCTCCCCTAGGACACTTTTCCAATACATTTGGATATCAAACTTTCCACTTTTTCCCTCCTGGGTGCTCCTCATGTCACATTTTTGCTCTGCACCGCCTCCAAGCCAGCACATTTTAGATCATAAGTCGAGTGGCCCAGTGAGCTAAAGTGGATGGATACAGGGCAGCTCGCCGATGCTCTTCCTGTCCTGATAGTTGATAAGTGGTTTGCCGAACGGTTATATAAAGTCCCCCTCCTCCGTCTCCCCGACACAGCATACACATCTACGCACCCTACAATGAATTTCACATGTAACTTGTTTATTTTACGTCCAAACGATCGATAATACGCACACGACACTTTAAGTCCCTTTACTAGATCATGCCTCTGATACATCCGCCGAAGCATGGCGCAGTTTTTTCACGTTCGTTCCCTCGCCTGACCATTCAAACCTTTTGTTCCTGCATGTACTAACTGGTCCTTCAGTCTCAACCCCTTCGACCACCTTTTGTAAGACCCATTCGGTAAAATGTCAGGGGTAGGATAACTCGGGGATTCGCTTAAGTGTTCGAGGGGGTCTAAAACGTGCAGTTTATTTTTAAGTACTTGTCTGTAGTGACGTGGAAGGCTGGAGTATGCCTTAACGAATGGGACCCGGGACAACATTTGTTCATTCTTACTCTGTTGCTACCAAGAAGGTGCTCAGGTTTGCTGAGGCTACCACAGCTTTTATTAATTTCATACCCCGTTTCTGAAGCCTAGTCTTCAGGTCTTGCCTATGCCGGATGTAATCATTTCGGTCACTGCAGATTCTCTTCAAGCGCAAAGCTAATCACAGGCGAAGCATTTTTGGTGTGGTAAGGATGGTCTGATGAAAAATGAAGGTAGCTCGTGTTGTTGGATGGTTTTGAGAACAAATCAGTTTGGACATGGCCATATTGTAGTCTTACAATAACGTCTAAGGATTTTGCGTTAGTTTCGGATTAACGAAGGTAAGCTTGAAGTTTTGGGTGTATGCTGTTTGCAACGCTACGGTGCTGTTTTATGCCTTCTGACCATGCAGCCATTCTCCAAAAATGTCATTGATGAATCGAAAGTAAACTAATTGTTTGAGATCCGTTTTCTGATCAAGTTCTAATTTCCAAGTCCCAAATACGTATACTTGTGCATAATATCAATAACGTTAAGTGCTTTTATGGTCACAGGTTAAAATTGTTGTTTTTTCAAAACTAGGTAAACGATTTTCGAGGCCCTCACCGTTGGAATTATTGGCGATGCGCGTTGGTCTAGAGCCGATTTGACACGCCGCAACACCCTCCCCCAATGTACACTGCGGTAAAGTTTAATCACAGCCAAGTAACAAAGAGTATGCATACACATATTATGAGACCTGATTGGTTGTGGCAACTCGTCAAATTTGTATAGAAAGTGTGGCGTATTACGGATGAAGGATCTTTGATCTTCTATTTCCCTTTGCTCTTCCCTTTCCGCACGTTCAGCCAGGCTCCCCGTCATGTGATCTCCGATACTGACAATGGACCAAAGCGGTAACTCCTTCTTGTGGAGTTTTGGGTTGTCCTGGAGGCTGCCTGCTCAAGGATTGGTTGCCACCATGTAGCACATTTGGTGCCTTCTTATGTAACCCCCCCCCCCCCTGAACGTCTTGTTGGTGAGGTTTTTCACCTTTGTCTGCACGTTAGAAGTTTGATCGGTGTCCCTGCTCTAATACCTTGATTTGCCTCTCATCTCTGCGTAAGATGGTTCACTATATCGCCCTTTATCAATGTTCACTCCTCTGACACCTTTATCCGTAGGACATATAAGTATTGGTTGGTCTTCGATCAAGCCACACAACACCAATTCTTCTTTTCTAGATAGGTTACTGTCGGCTTTCTTAAATGTGTTGGTGATGATTTCCCTTGTAGCTTCCTTCAGGTATAGATCTAGACAGCGATATTTCCCTTTCAGGGGTGTCCAGCTAGAATGTGTGTACTTGGTGTCTGAGTCTTCAGCATCAGTATCCCCATCGGCTTCACCCTGCTCCCAGTGCTAGTACTCCTGTAGCCGCGTCAAACGCTCCCACTCTTTAAGCTCGGCGAGCATTTTCGCAGGTGATGCTTCTTAGTCGGAACAGAGTTCAAGCATTTGCTCAATTGGAATGATTCAACTGGTGTTAAGGACAAAGTATGGTTAAGACGACTGGGCTAACACAGCTTTGTATGGGGATCTGTTTTCTGATCAAGTTCTAATTTCCAAGCCCCAAAACACGTGTGCGCAAAATTCTCCCCAATTTTGAGCCTATCAAGCCCGTTCAACTTCCATCAAGTGTTTACCTAGTCATATTAAACTGCGCCGATTTCTTGAACGTATTTCTTCTTTGTTTTCACTTCTCCCCTTCACGTTGTAATGAATTTGTAAACGGTTACGTCTTCTTATTACCCCTCTGAGAGGTGAGTAAGGGGTGGCAGTGGCTCCATTGTGGCAGTGCTGCAGTCCGCAGCGTCAAGACTGAACACATAAAATACTAAAGGTTCGACATTTTCGGTCTTTATTATGTGTTAAAAGCGCCTCGCGCCTGCCAGCATCTGCGAAGCTTTTAATAAGGCTGCCACCGTTCGCTCGTAAAACTTCAACCGATCATCCACATTTATCTACGATCATGCCATGGTCCTTCAATATATATATATATATATATATATATATATATATATATATATATATATATATATATATATTTACTAGATATTTATACAATATCTAGTAAATTTATATACGTAATGAAATATCAATTTACTTAGAATTTTTAGATTTTCCACGGCTAACGTCTATTGACAGTTCGAGTTAAGAAAATCAAAAAAATTGAAATATTGACCCTTCGAGTTAAGAAAATTTGTCACACCAGCAAGAGATAATGCCGACGGAAAACGCGACGATAAAGAGCGGATGATTTAATGAAATCCTAGGTCATCCCGTCCCTTTTATCATGAATGTTGCTTCATCCTGCGTCCTCGCGACACCCCGCTTGTCCGGGGCAGGCTGCATGCGTCAGCCACGAGTGGGCCGAGAGCCCCGTGGGAAGGGGACCCCGACCGGGTAGGCTCGGCGGTTAGCCACCAAGGCGCACGCACGTTAGTCCCATCGTTAACCATTTTCCTTCATCCCATAGCCCTGAAATGATCATGTCTGGTCGAAAGGGCTCAATTCCGAAACCTTAAAAAGCCTTAAATCGTAGGCTATCTGGCCCTGCTCTATCACGCCGGTCGTCTGTTGCTTCCATTGATCAAATTCACTTAAGGTATCATGGGTGCACCCGCGTTGGAGCAGACTTCCGTGGAAATGAAGTGCATTACGTATCCTGTCTTCGGTAACAGTCTTCGCCATGTAAGGCATATTGTTTAGAAACGAAATGAGCCTGCAACACCCTTAACTTGCCGTATACTATGCTGCTTACCACCCGAACAGCTTGCGGCGTGCGATCAGGCCACACCCATAACTTGCCGTATAATACGCTGCTTACCACCCGAACAGCTTGCGGCGTGCGATCAGGCCACACCCTTAACTTGCCATATAATATGCTGCTTACCACCCGAACAGCTTGCGGCGTGCGATCAGGTGACTGTGAAAAGTAATGCAGTTTGGGCTAGAGGAGATGAAAGAACGTCATATTGACGAAACACATGTTTCCACCAAATGCTGTACCAGCAAGGAAATGCGGTCAGCGATGCCTAGACCGGTGCATCAATCCTTTCGAAATGACGGCTATGTAAGAAGCGCAATCACTGAACAGTGGAGCATCAAAGAAGAGGTGCAGATATATAGACCATGCAGAACCTCAGCCAACACCATCACTGTCAGCTGCTCAAACAGTACCGCCGCCACCAAGTGTACAGCTAGAGCCGTCCCTCCCCCCCCCCCCCCCCCCTCCCCGTCCTCACCTCAACCAACACCGGCTCCGCCAGCTACTGGACCAGGGGTGCCGTCACCAGCACCTTAAAGGGAGAATGAAAACGTACTCAGGTGAAACCATTGGACTTCTAATAGTAGTGCTGGGAAATGCCACTGCAGCACGGTCAAGACAAGTATTAATGCGTATTATTTCCGAGTCCAAACGCTGTCAACACTTTGTGACAGCATTCCGCTTGTTCCCTGCAGTGGCGACCACCGTTGTCATGGCGAACGC